GATAACAGTTGTATGAGTCTCTAATAAAATGTTAAAAAAAAAAGAAAAGAAGTCTGAAGTCTGAAAGAAACCGTAATATTGATCCTTAAGAGGGTGTCTTGGTGAATTGCTGTTATGATGGCAAAATTACCACAAATTGGGTGGCTTGTGAGAACAGGGATTTATTTTCTCAATTTTAGAGGTTAAAGTTCAAGTCAGGGTCTAGGCTGTTGTGAGTCTCATTGTTAGTTTCTCTTCTAGTTTCTGGTGTCTAATGGGGATTGTTGGCATTTTTTGTTGTCTGTCTTCCCCCTGTGTGTCTCTGTGTCTGTGCTTCTTAAAAAATAACAATAAATTCAGAAGTGAATTGACTTAGGATCCACCCGACCCTGATGTGGCCTCGTAAACAGAACAAGAGAAACTCCTATTTCCAAACAGGATCACATTCACAGATGCAAGGGCTGGACATTCAATCTATCATTTAGGGAAACACAATTCAGTGCATAATACAGGCAGGACAAATCATCTGGAAGATAATCTTGCTAAAGCACCACACCACCAATGAACACACACACACACACACAGACACACACAGACACACACACACACACACACACACACACCTTCAAAGTCATGACAGAGTAAAATCAAAAAGGAAAATTCATAAAGTTGGTACATAGTATATTTGGTGTACAGGTAGCTGTCACTCAGTATCCATTGAGAATTTTTGGGTTGGTTTCAGGACATCCTGCTCTCTCCCCACACCCCCACCCCCACCGTCCCCACCCTTGCCAACACCTCCCATCCCCCGTAGACACCAAAAGCTTCTCATGCTCAAGTTCCTGGTGGTATAGTGGTTACACATTGGGCTGCTAACTGCAAGGTCAGCAGTATGAAACCTTCAGCCACCCTGCAAGAGGAAAACATTGGTTTCCACTTCTCATCAAGAGTCACCATCTCCGATACCCACAGGGGTAGTTTACCCTGCCCTACAGATTCTGCTCTTACGGGATTTATAGTTAACTAGTAGAAATTATACATGTTCATAATTGAGTTTGAAGGAAAGTCAAATAAACTGGAATACGCTTGGGAAGACTGGAAACTTCCTAATGAAGGAATCCATTTGACAATGGAAGGACCCCCAATGTACTAATTCCTGGGTTAAGGGAAATTTTTGTAGAAGCAGTGTGCAGGATGAATTAGAGCGAAGAGAGAGAGAACGTGGACCATGACTAGTTGTGCATTGCAGTGATTCAGAGCCATCCCGGCAGAAATGTAGATGAGAAAATACACTGATTCAAACTCTAGGAGTCTTTGACTCAGTCAGTTCACTACCGAAATAAACATCAGTTCCTTTGATATATGTTGGCTGAGTTTCATAACTACATGTGAAGTATAAAATGGAAATTTATGAAAAAGAAAAAAAAGGTAATGTTTGTAAAGGACAAGTAAAGTAAAAATTAATGTAAGCTTCAACCACTGACCTAATTCAACTCATTCCATCCCTGAGCCAGGACTCCTACTCAATATTTTACCCTCCCCTCATTTGTGAATCCCCTCCCCCAATCCCTATATATCATTGCCATTCTCTTTTCACTTCTTTTTAAACATTTGCTTCTCTCTCTCACTCCTTAACTTCTGTCAGCTTTTTCTGCTTCTTATTTTTTGATTTTTAATGTTTATTTCTCAGCTTCGGACACTTGTCCTCCGTTACTCTTCTTTCTGACCTTCACCAGGCTTATGTAGTCTAACCAGTTTCAGTACAAATCTATGTTTAAGATGAACAAACGTTTAAGTTTAAGACTAACAAAGTCATGTCTCCTCATCTGAACTCAAAATATGCTAAAAAAATATCCTGGAGGATGTCTGAAAGATTTTATAAACTCAGTGGTCCCGAACCAGCATGGTTTTATTCCTTGCCATGGTATTTGGTGATACGTATGTAGACACTCTACTGTGAGACTCATGTTTCCTCACATTTTTGCCAGGCACCGCACTATTAATTTTTAATATTACTTTTCCAGTTTGTCTCCTACTTGCCAGCTCTATTATTATTGTTCCATTATCTTTCCCCTGGACATGCAGTAGTTTCCCAGCCGACTTCCACAATGTTAACTTGTTTTCCCTAAGATACATTATTCGTAATGTGGGAAGTATGATTAACTACAAATAGTGAAACAATACTATACAAGGTAAACTCTCACTCTTTAAGGGCTAATCATCTTTTGTCCTATACGGTGAAACCCAAGCTCTTCAAGGTCCAGAGTAATGCTCGATTAGTGTAGGTCCTCAATACATTAATGGAAAAAATCTAAGAACATTTTGCCTTGTTTGTTATCGTCTTAATCTTAACTCACATTATTTCCCAACTCTTCTTCTTTCCGGTAGGATAAAAAATTCTTATAATTCTCTACACTTCCTATATGCTGCTTCATATCTCCTTGGCTTTGCTCCTGGCCTGCTCCCTCATTTTCCATCTGGCTAACACACTTTGTCGTCTGAAAGTCGTACTGTAGGGACTACTTCTTCATGTTTATTACAAGATAGGCTGGGTGTCCCTATTCTGTTTCCCTCGAGTTTCAGATATTTCCTATTCATCCCACTTTAGTTGAAGTCACCTGTTTGCTTCTCTGTCTACCCTGGTAGCCCGATAGTCCCCGCGGTCACTGCCCTACTTACCAATGCAGCTGTGGAACTCAGCATTATGTCTGGGATATATCAGGGACTGGATGTGGGACCGAACTGAATTAGACAATGTAATCTGCTGTCATTTGGATTGAGACTATAGGTAGAAAAGATCAAAATTGTTCATTGCGATCTTAAGAGTGAGATCAGAACACTGGCTAAGATTTGGTAGAAAGGAAAACAAAACAGAACTCAAGAGTTTGAATGTGCGCCCAAATTGCAAGGCAGGATCTCAAATGAAGTCTTTAATTTTCAAGTCACACTTGTTCTATTACACTTAGGAGTTCTGCTGCAGTCGTTACTTCCAAAGCTGAACTGATCATTCCCATGTAAATCTAGAATTCTCTGCTCAGATAAAACCAAAGATAAGATTAAGACTAACACCTCCAACCAAACTCAGGCATCCAATCCATGCTAACTCACAGCGACCTCATAGGACAGAGTCAAACCACTCCTTTGGGTTTCCAAGGCTGTAAATCTGTCTTGGAACAGAAAACATCATCTTTCTTCCTCATAGCAGACCGATGGAGTCTAATGTTAACCTTGTGAGTAGCTGCCCGATGCATAACTCACACAGCCACCAAGGCTTGAGAAATAAGACTTTAGATTTACTTAGAACTCCTATGAGCCAAGCTAGGTTCAAAGTAGCTTGCCTTGCATTAATTTTTTTCATTCCCAAGCCAATTTTTTGAAGTTGGCATAATTATCACTATCCTTTTTTTATGAACAAAGAAAGTGAAGGTGGAGGGTAGTTAAAGAACCTTGCTTATGGACACTTGGTTATCAAGTGGCAGAGCTACGTTTCAAACCCAAGTATCAGGTCCTCTTAACACTACTCAGACTATTCTATCTCCTTTCTCATTCAAGTGGTTCAGTGTAAACCTCTGGAGGCCCCAGAACTGGGCACCATGGCCTGTGCTCACCCCTTGGGAGACTTCAGCTTCAGCTCACACTGTGCCTTCAATTGCTCGGAGGGAACAGACCTAACTGGGATGGAGGAAACCACTTGTGGACCATCTGGGAACTGGTCAGCTCTAGAACCATCTTGTCAGGGTGAGTAACTGTTTCGACTGTGGCTTTGTCATGGAGGGCCTGGGTCTAGGCTCTGAGAAAATACAGTAGAGTCTTGCTAAGAATTGTGCATACGCTTCTGGAATACAACCTAAATTAGATTGTACACCGATGCGTCTCAAAGAGGTTACTAAAATTAAAAAGGAAAACCCCCAACAAAAATAGCAACCAAATATCCTGTCACCTCTGATACTATCTCACGGTGTACACAAGTTATACCAATACTGTGACGCTTTGCTGATGTCTGTTTTTATTAATTTTTCATTTTGCCATGGCATACATCATCAATCTTGCTGAAACCTGCCTACTTTCAGCTTGCTTCTCCTCTCAGTAGCACTACTTCACGTGGTGCCCTACTTAACACCAGCAGTTTCCTCCGTAGAGGACAGGGACCTTTTCCTGATGGTGTTACTTGTTTGATTCTTGTAGTCGTCTTTAACTTTTCCTCCTCCTTGAATGCTGTGGAGAGAAACAACCACTCTTAAAACAAAAATGTGATCTTTCAACTGTAAAAAAAATTTTAATTTAAATATATATGCTTGTTTTTTGGCTAATTCAACCTGCTACATTTTATAGACATAGGGAAATAGGGATTTTTTCCAAACCTACATTAGTAGACTGTAGAGCATGCAGAAAGGTGAATATTTGCTCCATTCACTAAGAATGTTCCATATGACCACTCATGCAGAAGCCAAATGGCCCAACACTTCTGTAGGGAACCACCACAGGTGGATAGCAGCCCAGAGCAGGGCCCTGCCCTCCACCTCTCAGGCAGTGGTGTGCTCCTGGTTCACCTCCATCTCATCTCTGCCCATGATTTTCAAGGCAAAAAAAAAAAATAAGCCTGTAAGCATTATCAGAAGGAATTTCTAGAATGTTACTGTGAATGGTTTCAGAGTTGAGTTAGGCATTTTGGTTGAACACTTTTGCTTGAGAGGCTAACTACCCAGAAACACTGATTTTTATATTATTTCTTTAATCTTTCATTGAAGTGATTCAGTGCGAGCCATTAGCAGCACCTGATTTGGGGACCATGGACTGTAGTCACACCTTGGCAGACTTCAGCTTTACCTCTAAGTGCACCTTCAGCTGCTCAGAGGGAACTGAGTTGAATGGGGAAAAGGAAACTATTTGTGGATCATCTGGAAACTGGTCCAACCCTAGACCAATCTGTCAAAGTGAGTAAGTGTGTCAGATACCCTGCAGACTTCAACATGGAAGTGATTGACAAACAGATGATCCGGAAAGATCTATTGAATTTTAAATTGTGTTTTATTCAATGTATGGGGCTTAAAAGTAAACGTGTGCTCATTAACTCACTATGCAATTCTTGCTTGTTCTGTTTCCTTCTTTAATAACAGTCATTTCTTTATTTCTTTCTTTTTCGGGGGTAACAGGGGGTTTGGCCAATTGTCACCTTGTCCTCATATCTTAGCAGTCTCTACCACTTCTCTTCCTAATTACCCCACTATATCTGAATTCTTTGTTAGTCCCTTGAAATGCCTCTACAAAGGTCATTAATGACCATGCCTTTCCCCCAAGTAAAGGGTATTTCTTAACACAAAGCTGATGTTTCCCAACTCTACTTTTGCAAGAGAAGGACTGTGTTTTCCTGATCTTGGTATACTCTCCCTAATAAGAGAAGAGGAGAGATGAAAATAAATGCTAAACAGTTGCATTTTGGATTAGCATGTGACTATTGAAACTACATAGACATTTACAACAATAAAAATTAGCACATGAAAAATAGCTACCCAGGCCCTCTCTAAGACATCTGCTCCCCCCACCTAAAAAAATCTAAATTCACTGCCATCAAGTCAATTCGGACTCACAGTGACCGAATAGACAGGATAGAAGTGCCCTTGTGGGTTTCCAGGACTGTAAACCTTTACAGAAGCAGAACGCCGCATCTTTTTCCCTCAGAGGGGTTGGTGGACCTGAATTGCTGACCTTGTAGTTAGCAGCGCAACACAATACTTACTATATTACAACAGTTCCCTCAGCAGTCAAGGCAAATGTCTCTAAATTGGCAACATCTGTAGAGAGTCTCAGGAGTCCTGTAGTCATAGTGGTTACACATTGGGCTATGATCCTCAAGGTCAGCCGTTTGAAACCACCTGTCAGCTCCACAGGAAAAAGATGGGACTTCTCCTGTAAACAAGTACAGTCTCAGAAACTCACAAGGACAGTTCTACTCTGTCCTATAGGGTTGCTGTTAGTTGCCTTCAACTTGATGGCAATGAGTTGGTTTTGGCTTGTAGAGACTGTTAGAAACCCATCAGTTACTCAGATGAGACTGTGTAGTTCTTACCACTGAGAACAGGTTGTGGATTCCCTAAAAGCAGATCCTCAGTGATGTGGACATGGTGGCATATGTTCGTACAGGTAAAATAGATCCATAGCAGTAGATCGTCGAACGAAGGGATAAACAAGCTCTGACAGACAGACAATGGAACTCTATGCAACGTTAAAGACTAACGATGAATCTGCAAAACACCCCCCAACCTTATGATGAGTGAAACGAATCAATCACAGAAGGACAAATGTTGTAAGAGATCCCTAGGATATAAAGTCAATAAATGGCTTACCAACAGATTTTTTTTAAAAAAAGGAATCCACAGGTAAGATGAGATAACTGAACCAATCAGGAATAGCTAAACAAGTAATTGGACATATTGGGTCTGCCCATCACACAACTCAGTGCCAATGTTTGTCTTTATAACAGCACACACAGTGAAATTGAACTCAGAGACAGTCTCGTGCCAGTATGCAAGCCTGTAGCTGCTGTCGTTGTTAGGTGCCACCGAGTCAGTTCTGACGCAGTGACCCTGCGTCACAGAACGTACAACAGAACGACCTACTACCTGGTCCTGTGCCCTCCTCGTCAGTTATGCTTTGCTTGAGCCCAATGTTGCAGCCAACTGTGCTGATCCATCTTGTTGAGGGCCTTCCTCTTTTGTGTTGCTCCTCCACGTTACAAAGCATGATGTCTTTCTCCGGGGACCAGTCTCTCCTGACAACATGTCCGAAGTACATGAGATGCAGTCTCATCATACTTGCCGCTAAGGAACATTGTGGCTGTACTTCTTTCAAGATAGATTCGTTTGGTTTTTTTTGCAGTCCAAGTTGCTTTCAATATTCTTCTCTAGCACTATGCTTCAAATGCCTCCATTCTTCTTCAGCCTTCCGTATTCAATTTCCAACTTTCACATGCATCTGGGACAATGGAAAATACCACAGCTTGGGTCAGGCTCATCTTAGTGTTCAGAGTAACATCCTTGCTTGTCAACACTGAACAAGAGGTCTTGTGCGGCAGATTTACCTAATGCAACTCGTCTTTTGATCCCTTGTCTGCTGCTGCTTCCACAAGCAACGATTGTGGATCCAAACAAGATGAAATGCTTGACTTCAGTCTTTTCTCCGTTTATCATGATGTTACCTGTTGGTTCAGTTGTGAGGATTTGGGTCTTCTTTACATTGAGTTGTAGTCCATACTGAAGGCTGCAGTCCATGGCCTTCATCAGCAAGTGCTGCAAGTCTTCATTTTCAGCCAGCAAGATTGTGCTGTCTGCAAATCACAGTTTGTTAATAAGCCTACCTCCAATCCTGATGCCACCTTCTTCTTCACACAATCCAACTTCTCTAATACTTTGCTCAGCATACAGATTGATTAATTACAGGATACAACCCTGACACACACCTTTCCTGGTTGTAAACTGTGCAGCATTACCTTGTACTGTTCACACAACTGCCTCTTGATTCATGTACAAGTTGCACATTAGCACAAAGAAGTGCTCTGGAATTTCCATTCTTCTCAAGGCTATCCAAAATTTGTTATGACTTTGCATAGTCAAAAAGACACGGGCAGTTATCTCTTTGGGAGTCTCTGCTTTGTGTCAAGATCCACCTGACATCAGCAATGATATCCCTTGTTTCACATTCTTGACTGAATCCTGCCCGAATGAATCTCTGGCAACTCCCTCTCCATGTTCTGCTGAAACCATTGTTGGATGATCTTCAGCAAAATTTTACTTGCATGTGATATTGTTCTATAATTTGTGCATTCTGTTGGGTCACCTTTCTTTGGAATGTGTACAAATATGGATCTCTTCCAGTCAGTTGACCAAGTAGCTGTCTTCCAAATTTCCTGGCATAGACGGGTGAGTGCTTCTAGTGCTTCACCAGCTTGTTGAAACATTTCAATGGGTATTCCTTCAATTCCTGGAGCCTTGTTTTTGGTTAATATTTTCATTGCAGCTTGGACTTGTTCCTTCAACACCATTGGTTCTTAGTACCTCCTGAAATGGTGGGATGTGGACTAGTTCTTTATGGTACAGTGCTTTTGTATATTCTTTCCATCTTCTTTTGATCCTTCCTGCATCATTCAATATTTTGCCCATAGAATCTTTTAAAGTTTCAACTCGGGGCTTGAGTTTTTTTTTCAGTACTTTCAGTTTAAGAAATGCTGAGCATGTTCTTTTTTTTTGTTTTCTAACTTTTGGTATTTAAACATTTCATTATAATATTTGCTTTTGTCTTTTTGAGCTGCCCTTTGAAATTTTCTGTCCAACTCTTTGATCTCATTATTTCTTCCATGCGCCTTAGTTACTCTATGATTAAGAGCAAATGTCAGTCTCTTCTGGCGTTCACTTTGATCTTTTCTTTCTTTCCTGTCTTTTAAATGACCTTTTCTTTCTTCATAAATAATGCTTTTGATGGCCTCACACAGCTCATCAGATCTTTGGTCCCTAGTGTTCAACATGTCAAATTTGTCCTTGAGATGTTCGTGAAATTCAGGTGGGATAGACTCAAGGTCGTATGGTGGCTTTTGTGGAGTCATTTTAATTTTTTACGTTGTCAACGTTAATTTACATGAGACCCATTAGTGGTCTCTTCCACAGTCAGCCCCCGGCCTGTTTTAGCTATTGAAATTGAGCTTCTTCTTCATCTTTCCCCAGAGATGTAGTCAATTTGATTTTTGTGAATTCCATCTGGAGAATTCGAGTTGAATTGTCAAGTTTGTGTTGTTGAAAAAGAGTATTTGCTATGAACAAGTTGTTGATCTTGCAAACTTTTATCTTTAATCCTTTCAAGTCATTATGATTATCTTTACTTTCAGAAGACAAAAAGCTCTTTCTCAGTCATATTTTGAGTGGCTTCTGACCTGAGAGGCTCATCTACTGGAACTATCTCTGACAATATTTTGCTTCCGTTCATTATCTGACAGCCTATCTCCCATATCTAACAATGCATCCTTGCTGTGCCTAAGGTTTTCAAGGGCTAATTTCTCTGAAGTGGACAACCAGTCCCTTCTTCGTAGTTTGTTCTTAGTTTGGACCCTCCACTGAAACCTGCTCACTCTGGGTGACCCTGCTGGCATTTGAATCTCAGTGACATAGCTTCCAGCATCACAACCACACACAAGCCACCACAGTGAGACAAGCTGGCAGACAAGTGGTGAACATGCAAAAAGAAGTTCCTTCAAATGAGACAATCAGGAGGCAGATTTCATAGCTTTATCATATTGGTAATTTTTTTTAGTAAAATCCTTCCAATGAATTTAACTTATATTTGCAATTGACATGTAAATTTATTTGTCACAGAAGTAGAAGGAAGCAGAAGGTGTGCGTACTTCATTTAAGAGACTAATCAGTGTAGCTCCTTCACATGTAAACAGTAAGTGCATATTATTTGCACAGCTGCTGTAAAATAAAAGCATTCATGGCTTCCTTTGATTGACCAGTTACCTGATTCATATTACTGACTTTTATTTTTATTACAGTAGTATTAGACCTTTTAACCCTTTGCTGTGTTTCAGCGTCTTAACAGTTCTACAAGGTCACAGAACTAAATACTTCATAATTACTTCTTGCCAAGAATTGTAGAGTCATCTCTTAGGAACTCCATGGGTCACAAACCTTAGGTCCCATCTTGTATAGGCATTGGCCTAAGGAGCCTGGTCCGGTTTTTGCCTCTGGCACACACTCATGATGGGCCCTCCCATACTAATGTTCTCATCTGTCAATGGCCTTATATGGGAGATCTAAGGAGAACAATTGAATATCATGAGATGGCATCAAAGAAATGTGTGTGGTTTCATGTTATGTGCCCTATGGATTTCTCTTTCAGAATTGGACAGGAGCTTCTCAATGATTAAGGAGGGTGATTATAACCCTCTCTTCATTCCAGTGGCAGTCATGGTTACAGCCTTCTCTGGACTGGCCTTTATCATTTGGCTGGCACGGCGATTGAAAAAAGGTATGTGGGCTTAACTTCATCTGAAAAGAATTCAGCTTTAAAGTGGGGGGAAAAAAGAAACCCACAGGAAATTATATGTGATAAATTCGATTGAAGCAGGTTGCTAAGATTTAGGTTATGTAGACATGAGTCTCAGAGATAGGTGCTGCAACCCAGGACACACCTTTATTAAATAATGCTTACTATGGTCAGGGCACCTGGTTAAGGTGCTAACTGCCATGAATCAGACATTCTCACTGTTCTGAACTCTTCATTAATTCTGATGTAAAATGACGCATAAGCGTCGTCATGTAAGAGCCTACCTGCCTTTGATTTCAGGGCTGCAATTCCACTAGGAAGTGAATCTAAGATTCACTGTGGTTTTCAAGGAACTGGTCCCAAATATGTGAGCTCCTCAAGAGGTCCCTCCGCCTGGCTGGGGAAGAAAGTGAAGGAGGAGGGCTGCTTTGCGAAGTGAATTATCTGCTTCCCGGAATAGTAGAGGGCACCTCATCAGATCATGTTCACCGCCTCTCTCCAGAGTGTGGCCAAGCCCTGGCAGCACACTGGACAGCACCCACTCAGTGGACAAATTCAAGGTGGTGAAATCCATGTCCATCAGGCAGCTTTAACACATGAGTAACTCGAGGTCAGGCACTCTGGATGGCCCCAAACAATGCAGAATTCCTGCGCTGTCCCACCTTTTCATCTTTTTCTAGCTGGCGAGCACTCTAATCTCACTTCCATCAAATGAGTGTGCTCTGTTTTCCTGAATCTGGTAGACTAAAGCTGAGCTCTACCCACACTGGCAAATATTGTAATATTACTGATCAATCCCAATGATCTCCCACTATGGTCTGATCTTTCACCCTAAAAGTCTAGCCAACCCAGAAAGGCAGTAAGAGGAGTTCTATCAATGTGGGGGGAGTTGTACCTGGAGAGCACTGAGCAGTCACAATATCTATGCCCTTGCTGTTAGAAATGGGCTAAGGTTGAAACCCTTAGTGTCTTATAACAACACACTAAGTACTTAAGAAGTGCTGTGGTGCAAACATCAAGCACTTGGGAGCCAAAGGAAAGGTTGGCAAGCCCATATGGCTACTCTGAGGGAGAAAAATCTGGTGATCTGCTTCCTAGAGGTTGCCGCCAGGAAAACCCGCTAGGGCAGGCAGCCTGCCCTCAGGGGTGGCTAGAAGCCAAAATCAACTCTACAGCCTTAACAACCACAAGCACCTTAGCACTGCTCTGCTCTGCGGCAAGAGAATGACATTTTTCTTCCAATCTTGATTCCCCTTGCCTCTGTGTCTGTAGCCTGACTCCAGTCACCCTTTCTTCCTCCTACCTTGAGTGATGGTGGCAGAATGGAGCAGGTGAAGAACAGAGTGGGCAATTACACCTGTCCTTTGGGATAAGGTGGCTATTATCTAAGTAATCTTCAAGACTCTGAGATAGTAAACTACCTTCATAAGGGGGATATTTATCCCCAAATTCCAAAAGTGGGGGGGGGGAGTGGGGGAGGGGTAAATGTGTGCACGTGTATACTTTTTTGTAGAAGAGAAAGAATGGAATCAAAGGCAAGTGCAGTTCCAGTGGGGTTCGCAGGCTAGCCCTGATGTACAAGCTGTGATGAGGAAAGCAGGGAGGTTGATTTTACGCTGTTGTTTTTTTAACCTTGGAGTCATTTCTGTACAAGATCGCAAATTGATAACTTGAAAACGTACATGCCCCTGCTGTGGGAATCAGTGTGGGGCAAACAGGAAACAGATAACGGGCAGTTAAGCTAGTCACAGTTATGCCAACCCAAAGAGCAGAAGCCTCAAGAATCAAGGTATCATAACATTTAGTCTTCACTTGTAAAGCATCTTCCACTATCATCTCCTCTAACGCACAAATGACTGTATTCCCAGCATGTTGGTGGTTTAGTCGGTGCTTTGAAGCAGGGAGGTTATTTTTCCCTGAAGAGTCAATGTTAGAAATAGCTAAAGTTTCCTAGGATAAGTCCCTCTAACTTTTCTGCCAAATGTAGTGGGTGAATTTTCAGTGATAAAAGTTAAAAAAAAAATACTGTGTATGAAGCAGTTTCACAAAGTTCAGAGAAAAACAGAATGACAAGACAGTCGATTTGAATCCCCCTTTCTGAGAGCAGTAGCACCTGCTCTGAGGTTGTGTAGACTTTGGGGGTCCAGAGGAGAGGAGGCGAAAGGAGGCAGTTGACTCTTTAGTGCATAACAATAATGAAATGACCAGATGATGACCTCCTTCTGAACTTGGACGGCCCTTCTGAATTGATCCCTTGATCCCTGCCCAAGTCAACTTGGGGTTCAGAAGAGGGCCCCAGAAATGTGTTCCTCTGACCATAGGCTGGTCTGGAAACACCTTGTGTTTCCAACGTCATCATTATTTGAGAAGCCATTGTCACTGACCCTTTGAAAACAAGGGAACCAACGCAGTGGTGCTATTGGGAAAACCAGCCCTACGAAAATCAACCAACTAACCAAACAACAACAGCAAAATCATTGTTGTGCAGCTGAATCTGACTCAAGGTAACCCTATGTGTTACAAAACAGAGTTGTGTCATAGGATTTACTGGGTGCAATGTTGTTATAGAAGCCTATCTACAGGTCAACCTTTAGGTTGATACCCACTGAAAACCCACTGTCATCAAGTTGATTCTGACTTATAGCAACTCTACCTGTAAGACAGAGTAGAACTATTCCCTAGGGTTTCCAAGATGGCAATTCTTTACAAGAGCATTCAGCCTCACCTTTCTTTAAAGGAGTGGTTGGTGGGTTTGACCCTCCGATCTTACAGTTAGCAACTCAATGCTTAACCCACATAGCCACTGAGTGCAAGTCATTTGCACCAGATACCTTCTTTATATAGACCAGCTCTCTAAAAATCCCATATCAAGGCGAAAAATAAAAAAATGTGTTCCTTAGAACCACCAGCCTGTGGATTTAAAGGCTCTGGGTTTTTTCCATGGCAGGAAGAATTTTTCTCCACAGTCAGCATGCAGGATTAGAATAAAGTATGAAACTAAGCACTTGACACGTTAGTTCCCCTTTTTTCCAAAAATAAACCCTCTCAGTAGAAAGAGACTGCTGTTCATTTGTTGCCGTGTGCTTTATTGTTCCTAAAAGAAAAATATATTTATAGGAAGATACATCAACAGAATCTGAAATCAATTCAAATTTGAGTCTCCATGTGCACATGTATTTATTTAGCTCATGCCATCAAAAGATTTAGTTTTGAAAGAAAGGCTTAGAACTGTAATTGCTAATTGAGCACTAAGTGTTGGGCCCTGGCTTAAATATGAAGAACATAGTTTCATATTTAATAGTTTAGCCAACTCAATGAGGAAGATACAATTATTATCCTCTTCAGACCAGAATCTGCTTGATGCAGTGTTTGGCTTTGGTGTGGTTTTACAGGTGGAGAAATTGTGGTTCATAGAGAACCAGTAGCTGCTCAGAGACACACTACAAGGGGCAAATAGAACTTGCACCCGGGTCGATGATTCTAGAGCTCTAGTTTATAGGCAAGATGCCCTGGTAGTACTGAGGGTTAAGCCCCGAGTTGCTAACTGCATGGTTAGCAGTTCAAACCCCCAGGTGCTCTGTAGAGAAAAAAAAAAGAAGCTGTCTGTTTCTATAAGTTGAGTTGGAGTTGACTTGATGGCAGTGGGTAGGGTTTAGCTTATTGTCACTGAATATTAAGCCTCCACATTGCTCTATCTCCTCAAAGTTCTCGTTTTTCCTCTTTTATTTCTTCTCTAGCTAACTGCTGCAATTCATTCATGTATCAACTTGTACCATGTTTTTGTTTTTCAAAAAGAATGTAAGACAGCGGAGGGGGGAGCGGGGAGGGAAGGGGAAAATGAGGACCTAATGCCGGGGGTTTAAATGGAGAGAAAATGTTTTGAGAAACGATGTACAAATGCGCTTTACACAATTGATGTGTGTATGGATTGGGATAACAGTTGTATGAGCCCCTAATAAAATGTTAAAAAAAAACCACAAAAACAAAAAAACAAACAAACAAATAAATAAATACATAAAAATGGAAAAAAAAAAAAGAATGTAAGACAGTTGGAAATTGTATTCGACACAGCAAATTAAAATTAGCATGTAGGAAAGGGAAGGAAAAATTGAGTCTACAGAAATAAGTTAGAGGCAGAAATGAAGTTGGGATACAAAAACAGGTGTTTCAATGAGTTCCAATGAGTTCCGTGGGAGAGGACCTCAGGTCTGACGCTGAGGTTCATTGCATCCAGGGAGAAAAGGAAACATAACCAGTGAGGGCATTGACTGGGCTGTGTATTTAAAAACCCATCAATTACTCAGATGAGGCTGTGTAGTTCTTACCACTGAGAACAGGTTGTGGATTCCCTAAGAGCAGATCCTCGGTGACGTGGACATGGTGGCATATGTTCGTACGGGTAAAATAGATCCATAGCAGTAGATCATCGAACGAAGGGATAAACAAGCTCTGACAGACAGACAATGGAACTCTATGCAACGTTAAAGACTAACGATGGATCTGCAAAACACCCCCCAACATTATGATGAGTGAAACGAGTCAATCACAGAAGGACAAATGTTGTATGAGATCACTAGGATATAAAGTCAATAAATGGCTTACACACAGATTTTTTTTAAAAAAAGGAATCCATAGGTAAGATGAGATAGCTGAACCAATCAGGAATAGCTAAACAAGTAATTGGACATATTGAGTCTGCCCATCACACAATTCAGTGCCGACATTTGTCTTTATAACAGCACACACGGTGGAATTGAACTTAGAGAGGCAGCCCCTTGCATCAAAGGATCTGTTTACCTAAGATCTACCACTGTCTGAACTGGAAGATTAAGCCAGAACCTCATAACCACAGATCCATAGATGCAGTCTGCATAAAACATGCTAGTTAAACTTCACAAGATGATTCTGAGGGCAGGAATCTCTTGCCTCCTTTACTTAAAAAAAAGTGGAAATTGTCTATTTTTTGTTGATGCCATATCTTAATTTTATTTTCTTTCTTTTTTCCAGGCAAGAAGTCCCAGCAAAGGTAAGTTGTAATAGAGTGGGATTTCCTCTTCTATAGATTCCTCCTCTACGTTCCTTATGATCCTTCCTGTTGACACTAGACACATCTGCAGCATTCACCACATTCATTCCAGGGCCCTTGTCCAAATGAAGTTTCCAGAACGAACAAGCAAGGCCTAAAAGAAAGCAGTGTGTGAAGGGAACTCTTCTAATTGTCTCTGAATTTTCTTTGATGAAATGCGGTATATTTTTTGTCCCAGCTGAACATGCGGGCCAAACATATTAAAGGCGTGTTCAATTCAACAAAGATTTTTGGAGAAACTAGAGTATTCGAGACCCTAAGAAGAAGGTACCGTTCCATACGCTGGACCCTCCAAGCCTAGAACAAGAACACCCACAGCTTTGATGAGCATTGGCTTTCAGAAGTACGGACACATCTGTTGCTACCGTTGTTACTGGTTGTTGTTCAGACTACTCCAACCCACGGCCACCCTGTGTAGATGCTCCAGAGGGTTTCTAAGTCCGAGACTTTCAGAAGCAGCTCACCTCGAGACCTGTCTCCCAAGCTGTCCCCGAGTGGGTTAGACTCATCAGTGTTTTGCGAGTAGTCACCTATTTAACCATTTGTGCCACTCACAGACTCCCAACTGATTCTATGTTTGTTAGATCTCAAAGGTCAGATTTCTTCAACTGGAATAGATGATGCTGAAAGACATGTACCTGTTGGAGAGTGAATGTCCCATCTGGCAGGAATGAAGAGGATAGAGTGGGGGGTTAGGTATTTGTTTTGAAACTTTAGGAAGGATCATGCTAGTAAAAATTATTATGGAGATGAGACTTTGGTAGCATTCAAAATACCCAGCTGGACATCTGAGCTCCTCTGAAAATCCTGGAAAGGAAGTGAGATGGCTGTTGAGTGCTTGACCACCAGCCAGCCAGCCAACCAAATCCTTATTGAGCAGTTCTGGCTAGTGCAGAGGATGGCAGCTTAGTGTTCAAAAGAGAAATTGGGGGGAAATTAAGGCAGCAGAGTCAGATCATAAAGTAAGTTATGTACCATATTGAGAAACAAACAAACAAAACCACGGGTTTCATCTTGAAATCTTTGGCGTCTCCCTAAAGGGGCTTAAGAAAGAGAAGGCCATATTGAAACTTGCACTTTAAGAGAGTGACGCTGGAGAGCGTACACGAGTGAGACTGGAGCGAGCATTGTTTTGCAGGCATTGGGAGTTATTTAGGGTAAAGCTGACGGTGCCTGTCTAGAGAAATGTCAGTGGTGATGGGTACATGAGATAAGAGGAGGCAGAATTAATAGAACAGAGTGTGTTTATTAATTGAGAGAGAGAGAAAAGTCAAGAAATGGGCATATTTCTAACCTGGGATTTGGTGGGGGGTGGTATTATTTACTGGGAAGAGATCACAAAAGAAGAAGTTTAGAGGTGAGGATCAGGGGCTCAGTTTTGTCCATGGTGAACTTCGGACATCTGGGCTTCATCCATGATCCACTGGACCCATCCACAGCACAAGGGGATAATTCTGAGTGAGAGAAGGATGTGTGGAAGTCCTCACATTATGGGAAGTCACTGCTGCCAGAGGTGTAGGTATAGTTGTCGGTGGACGGCCTCCAGTGTGAGAATTGGGAGCGGGGATTGGGAGAAAGAGTGGAACCTGAGGAACATCATTAAGTATAAAGTGGGCAAAGGGAAAGGAGAATGGGAATATGCTGCCCGAAAGGTAGAAGAAAAATGAGTATAGTTTTTTGAATGGTAAGGAAAGAAGGGAACGGGCAGGGTTTCAAATGCTGCTAGGAGAACCTGTCAGTTTCCACTGGCTGTAACTAGGGCCATAAGTGGGGGACACTGTTTCCATTGTAGAAGGCACGGCGGAAGTCAGATGGGTTGGGCTTAGTGGGGATGAGAATGTAGAGGCAGAGCATACAGTTCTTTAAAAAGTTCAGCTATGAAAAAAAGGGCGTGTTCGGTAGCAGTTGAATGGGGGCACAAGGTCAAAAGAGATTAGTTATTTGTTGTGATTCTGTTTTACTTTATTACACTATCCTCTCTTCATTAGTATAGGTGGGGGGTCTTAGACCATTCTCTGGGCTGGCTTTTCTCTCTCTGTGGGAAGGAAACCCACAAGGCGGAGAGATTTCTTTCATGCTAACACCCACTCGGTGTCAGATTAGGGTAATCATCCCATGCCCACACACAGTGAAAGTCTTTTCTGCCGCAATCTGAGCGTTGGCCACAGGAACCATCTGTGTTTCATTTGCCATAGTAGATGAATCGGCGCAGTGGCTACAACAATGGGTCCGAACATGGCAAAGACTTTGAGGACGGCCCAGGACTGGGGCAGGGTTTCCTTCCCTTGCTCACAGTCAATGTAAGTGGGGACTGACTGGAAGCACCTAACAACAGCTGCAACCGCTGGAAGTAAATCAGTTCGAATGTTATTAGAGGTGCTGGCACGAAGAGCTTTCGCATTCGGTTAATTACTACCGTGAGCTAATTGCCATGTTAAGTTTAAGGGTTCACTGATTTTTACAATGAATCAATCCAGGGCTGCTTATTGAATGCCTTTGTGTTGGAATAATGGTAATCTTGATGTGGGCACCAAGGGGAGAGCATCCGTGCCTCTGACCTCAGGAAGATTATGATTTGTTGGGAGTAAAGACAAGAAAATAAGGGGAAACCAGAGCAATAAAAGCAGCGTGTGGTCACAGCTGGTGAACTCCATTTGGAAGACAGGCAGGGTCATTTGGCCTGGTGACTGTAGACTTGGTTACAAGCAGGTCGACTCTGAGTTGGCTCTGAACGATGGACAGGATTGAGGTGTGGAGAGAAGCAGTGATGGCGATCTGGAAGAGGGAAATGTTGTTAACACAGGTATGGCCCAATCCTGCCATCGAGGCAATTCCTCCTCCTATCTGACCTTAAAGGACAAAATAGAACCACCCCTTTGCTTTCTGAGACTTTAAGTCTTTACTGGACTAGACAGCCCCATCTTCCTCACTCGGAACTGCTGATGGGTTCAAACCATTGACTTTGTGGTTGGGACTGTACATGGAATGTTCAGGGGTCAGTGGTAGAATTGCCTGGAGAGCATGGAGTTTGGAAGAGTTACGCAAGAGAGGTTAGAAGGAGGGGCAGCACTGTTAACATGTGCCTTGAAATTCACTAGCTTGTTTAGAAGAAACTAGCATAGAAGAATGATTTGTGTAACTGCTTTTGAAGAGAGATCTCTCATTTATTGACCACGGTTTATTTTAACTTACAGGATCATAGAATTTCAGATCTGGGAAGGATCATGGTAGATAAAACATTCAAGTACTCTTTATAGTTGAGCTACTTAAAATCATTTTCATAGAGGTCTGAGCGCCTTAATAATAAATATTTATTTCATCCTTGACACAGTTCTGAGTATTTTACAGGTTTTCAATCACTAACTATTTCCTATAATCCAATGGGGTCTCATTCACAGCCACTGCCATCTAGTCAATTCTGACTCAAACTGAACCTTTAGGATAAGGTAGAACTGCCCCTTTAGGTTTCAAAGGGTATAAATAGTTGGAGAGTTAGCCTCATTTTTCTCCTACAGAGAAAATAGTGGGTTCTACCATTGACCTTGTAGTTAGCTGCTGGGTGATAATCTACTGTGCCCCCAAGGCTCCATAGCCAGTGGGATAGGTTCAATTAACCTCCCCGGTTTACAGGCAAAGAAACAGAGACACATAGAAATGAAAGAGCTAGCTCAAGGCCATTGAATAAAAGGCAAAGCTGAGATTTGAACCCATCTGGATTCAGAGATCATGCCCTTAACCCCATATGCTTCTAGAATCAAGACTCTTGACTCCCAGGATAGAGTCTGAAAATCTAGACACCCCTTTCCCAAAACAGTGTGATTTCTCTCTTTCCCTCTCTCTCAAATTGAAACCATTGTGTTATAACAACGAGGATGGGTGGGGTAGAAGAAGTAGGGCGTATTTCTATAACAAGCCAAAGGTTAAAAAACACCGTGTGTCATTTTTTTTCTCAAAAATTGAGGTAGTTCTCACAGTCTTATATGCATGTTCCTGTAAGCTTTTGTTTGGTGAATGAGTGATTCCTTGGGCATTCGTGGTTTCAGCTCTGGTTAGGTTATTTTGACTCTTCTGCAAACTAGTCCTATTTATCACCTCATTTGGTTTTAATGTCTAAATTCTGCCCGGGTAAAAGCTACACCCAAGATACACAGGAAGGTACAATGCCAGCCTCAGAGGAAGAGAAATTTGTCTTCTGAAAGATTTTTTTTTCTTATATTGGCAAATACGTTAGCAGGTGCTGAACTGTGGTTTACCCTGGCAGTTCATCCTGAGAGCTGAGTCTCAGAACCTGATTCTCTTTTTCAAAGGTGCCATGAAAATATACCATATTTGGCTCTCCCCTGTCATTTCCAAGAACATGAGACCAATTGTATTCCACAAAAAGGTGTCATTTATTTCATGAACCTTAAGTTGTATCTCATCAGAGTCAGGCTGTGAGAACTACCAACATACCTTTTCAAGAGTTTTCACTTACTCTGATATCTTTGAGCATACATTTGTTAGCATCTCTGGCTTTCCACGGTTCAAAATCTACATAAAATGCACGTCAAAGGCATTCAATCAGAGGGAAAAGCCTAGATTTGAAAGATGTCTCAAAGTAGGTCTTCGGTCTACCGTCATAAGCACACGCATCACTGGGAAGCCTGTTAGAAATGCAGAATCTCACCCTTGTCCCCTAACCCCAAACCAACGGAACCAGCCCCTGTGCTTTCACAGGATCTGGGGTGACGTGCACTGCTCTTGGGTTCTCTTCCCATTCATGTGCTTTAGGAGATGCCCCGGTCTTTTCCAAGCCAACAGAAAGACCCTTCCTTTAGAGGACATGTCTCTCTTTACTATCAACACTTTGGTTATTTGTGTTTTATTTGGGGTCATTTTTTAACTCCTTAGTTTAATTTATAATCTCTTGTTTTTGATTCAGCATGGATGATCCATATTAAACTACCATCTATGAAAGAATACTACAGAGGCATGGGCCCGTCCAAATCCCTCCTTGAAGAGTTTCACAGGATGGTGTCTCCTTCACGGAAGAAGTACATTTCCTTCCATGCACCTGAAAAAGCTTGCTACGCAGCCAGCAGCTCCTTCTGCTTCCATTTTGCCCCCGCTACCCCTCCCTCCAGCCCACAGCTGTGGTTTATGTAGCTCGGTCTTTTATTTTCTGTCCCATGGAGAAACAAATAAAGCCACAAAGGAAAAGAATTATTGTGAAATACAAAGGGGCTCTCTCTCTCTCTCTCTCTCTCTCTCTCTCTCTCTCTCTCTCCTCTTGTCTTCCGTGTCAGTTCAATGCTGTATCTTCTGGCGTATACTTCTGAGTACAATGGACATGGGCTACATATGGACCTACAGACTTTTGTGGTAGACCAGAATTTACCCACCCTGTTCATGGTACAGGGCCCCTTGGTGGAGCAAGCAGTTTGCAACCGACTGCTAACTCAAAAGCTGCTGGTTCAAATCTACCCCACAACTCCATGAAGAAAGGCCTGGTGATCTGGTTCCATAAAGATTACATAAAACCAACCCCGAACAGAAGCAAAACTGCTGTGGGGCTGTTCTGCTCTCCACCGCACGGGGCGGCCACGCACTGCCTCACCAGTACTGCGCTTTGGGCTTTGCTTGTGGTACATGGGAGTATGGGAGGCTACATCCTTACAATGGATCTTACCCTTGCGCTCCAAATTCAGTACAATAATGAGGTTCTGTAAAGTTGGACTCTGGGCTAAAAGGGCTGATTTGCATGGTAGCCCATCTTTCTATAAATAAAGGAGATTGAATTTAACACATTGCGACCTCCTTGCCTTCTTCAGCCATCTTCTCGGTGAGCTGACTTTCACACAAATGGAACATCTAATGAGCACCACACAGGTGGGGGTGAGCATGAGAGTTTGTACTTTCGTTATTTTTATTTTTTAATTATGCCGGGCTAGAGGACTTGTCTTCACTGCTTATTTTATGACCACTAGGCTATTTAACAAGGAGCCCAAGTGGTACAAGGGTTTAAGTGTTTGACTGCTAACCGAAAGTTTGGTGGTTTGAATGCCCCAGCTGCTCTGCAAGAGAAAGGTGGCAGCATGCTTCTGTAAAGATTATCCTTGGACACCAGTTCTACTTTGTCCGATAGGCTCCCTACCCATCACAATGGACCTCACATCAATGGGTTTGGTCTGTGTTTATATGGCTAACCAGAGTCCCCGGATAGTGCAAATAGTTCCATCCATTTGGCTTCTAAATGAAAAGTTGAGTTCATCAACAGGTGCCTCAGAAGAAAAGCCTGGTGATCTCCTTCCTAAAAATCAGCCACTGAAATAATATGGAGCACACAACTGTCATCTCTGACACACAACTGTCATCTCTGACACACAACTGTCATCACGAGTCAAAAGTGACTCCTGCAACCCGTTTGTATATCAATAAAGAAGCATCATCATCAGAATGCTAGCAGCGGGTAGCATCCCTTTGATGTGATAGAGTTCAAATAAGTAGAAAAATGCTTTGGCTTGTGTGGAAATGCTCCCTCTCTCATCCTCAAGTCTCCTATGTACCCACATACATTGTATCCCTTCTTTACCTTTCACCTCAGGCATCCCCGCTCAGTCCAGCCAGTGGCCCTCTCCTCTAGCTGGTCTCTCAGAGTGATGGAGTCTGTAACATGATATTTTGCACCTAAGTACCACCTATTTTGAGTTGGAATTACCTGGATGGATGGCAGTGGGCATTTTAAAATGTTGCTTAGTTTGTTGTTTTAAAATTATTTATATATACGTATATATAGTTCAAAAAACTATGGGACAAGGGAAAATTTCCATGGACTTCTGGAAATCTGTATTTATAGCTACATATACCTCAAAAGCCAGAACCCAAATCACTGCCAGGAAGTTGATTCTGACTAATAGCCAGCCTATAGGACAGAGTAGAATTGCCCCTGTGGGGTTTTGAGGCTATAAATCTTTACAGGAGAAAGCCTCATCTTTCTTCAGCAGAGCTACTGGTAGTTTTGAACAGCTGACGTGAGGTTAGCAGCCTAATGCATAACCCTCTATGCTACCAGGGTTCCCGATTCCTTATTTATCAACTGTTCCATTTTATGACATTTTAAATTTACAACATTGAAAAACTTATCTGGTGGTCCAGGCTCCCCATGGGCCCATGGCCTGGGACACAGTACATGGACCACCTAACTGACATACCAAAGGCCCTGCAAATGACCACCTCCGTGATGGGCAGTGGCCAACCACTAGTGAGGGAAGGCATTTCCTACTCAGCCTCCACATCTTTGTCCAGCCTCAGAGGCAGAAGGCAACACTGGGACAA